GCAGCGGCCCTGGCTGTTCGGGCGGCTCAAGGCGGCGGTCATCGGGATGGTGCACGTGGGAGCGCTGCCAGGTAAGCGGCGGGCGGGCGGCACGGCCGCGGGACCCGGAGCAGGACCGGGAGCGGGTCTGGGTCGCCGGTGTCAGCCCTTAGCCCGGCTGCGGGCCCCCGAGGGCTGTCCCTTCACCGCAATCACCGCCCCGCATGAAGCGCCCGAAGTTTGGGCGCGCCCCGTTTAAGAAGAAAAAGGCGGGAAACAGTTCCACATGGGGAGCTGGGCTGAGAAAACAAGGGTTTGGGTTTGGCGAGCTCTGTGTTTCAGGAAGCAAGGGTTAGGGAGTTGCACAAATGGGCGATGGGATAGGCTGGAGGTTGGATAGAGCTCTCCCATGCCCTTAGGGGCACGTGGAAGCTCAGACAACAGGCAGGATCTGGCAGCCTGGCCTCCTCGTCCACCTTTCCAGCGGCTGAGGGTGGGCAGAGCTGATCAGGACAGCCCACCTTCCCCCGACAGGCTGATGCCCAGAGCTCGAGGTGCCCCACGTTCTCCCAGAAGCAGCCCCCAGGCGGTAAGGCCATTCACCCTGTGCTGGGAAATCAGGCCAGCTAACAGAGCTGGCACAGGGCTCAGCACAGTCCTCTTTTCAGACTCCCACCGCCTGACCTGAGGAGCCCAAGTATCTGAAGAGACTTAAGGGAAGTTCATTGAACTCCAACAAAATCCGTATGTGTATATTTCTGAATAAATGAAGATCGGATTCAATCAACCTTGCAGATTAAGAACAGCTTTAACTGGTTTTAAACTCACTGTCATTTAGCATAGGTGTTCTGTGCTGACCTAGAGGTCAGTCTTGCCCATAGGTTGTACTGTCTGGAGCATCACTAATGCAGGATAAATTGTAAGTACATATTATACAATTACACATATTATACAGTTATAAGTAAAGCTAAGAGCAGGCCTCGTGCAACAGTGGATCATAGCAGACTCTGCTCAAGTTTGTGAATTAGATTTAGGAGCTGAATGGTTACAGCAGTTCTGCCAAGCTCAGATAAGGAAAGAGACATCAGAAAGGCATGTCACAAGGAGATCAGGCAGCCTTTGAGCAAGTTTGCCCTATACGTCCCTGTTTCAGTATGCAATCCCCATGGATGTCCTGCCCAAAGCAGTCCCTGTCCATGGGTTTGGTTTGTGCATGCCCTGGGGTAAGCAGCATTATTCTTGCAGGGACACCAAGAAGTTCTCTTCCATTGACCCAGATCATTGATCAAGCTTGTCAAGAGGCAGAAGCTTACAGGGATGCTGGAGTTGTAAGTTTTGGTTTCTTTCTTCCCATG